GATACCAAGACTGCGGACACAGTACCGAGATGACCAGAGACTGCGGGACACAGTACAGGAGAACCATGGACTGCGGACACAGTACAGGAGATGACCAAGGACTGCGACACACAGTACAGGAATGACCAAGACTGCGGACACGAGTACAGGGGATGAACAGAACTGCGGACACAGAGTACAGGAGATGACCAAGACTGCGGGAGACGTACAGGAGATGACCAGATGACTGCGGACACAGTACAGGAGATGACCAGAGACAGCCGGACACAGTACAGGGGATGACCAAGTAGACTGCAGACACAGTACAGGAGATGACCAAGACTGCGGACACAGTACAGGAGATACGATGATGACCAGAGACTGCGGACACAGTACAGGAGATGACCAGAGACTGCGGACACAGTACAGGAGATGACCAGAGACTGCGGACACAGTACAGGAGATGACCAGAGACTGCGGACACAGTACAGGAGATGACCGGAGAGACTGCAGACTGCGGACACAGTACAGGAGATGACCAGAGACTGCGGACACAGTACAGGAGATGACCAGAGACTGCGGACACAGTACAGGAGATGACCAGAGACTGCGGACACAGTACAGGGGATGACCAGAGACTGCGGACACAGTACAGGAGATGACCAGAGACTGCAGACACAGTACAGGAGATGACCAGAGACTGCGGACACAGTACAGGAGATGACCAGAGACTGCGGACACAGTACAGGAGATGACCAGAGACTGCGGACACAGTACAGGAGATGACCAGAGACTGCGACACAGACAGGAGATGACCAGAGACTGCGGACACAGTACAGGAGATGACCAGAGACTGCGGACACAGTAGGAGATGACCAGAGACTGCGGACACAGTACAGGAGATGACCAGAGACTGCGGACACAGTACAGGAGATGACCAGAGACTGCGGACACAGTACAGGAGATGACCAGAGACTGCGGACACAGTACAGGAGATGACCAGAGACTGCGGACACAGTACAGGAGATGACCAGAGAGACTGCGGACACAGTACAGGAGATGACCAGAGACTGCGGACACAGTACAGGAGATGACCAGAGACTGCGGACACAGTACAGGGATGACCAGAGACTGCGGACACAGTACAGGAGATGACCAGAGACTGCGGACACAGTACAGGAGATGACCAGAGACTGCGGACACAGTACAGGATGACCAGAGACTGCGGACACAGTACAGGAGATGACCAGAGACTGCAGACACAGTACAGGGATGACCAGAGACTGCAGACACAGTACAGGGGATGACCAGAGACTGCGGACACAGTACAGGAGATGACCAGAGACTGCGGACACAGTACAGGAGATGACCAGAGACTGCGGACACAGTACAGGAGATGACCAGAGACTGCGGACACAGTACAGGAGATGACCAGAGACTGCGGACACAGTACAGGAGATGACCAGAGACTGCGGACACAGTACAGGAGATGACCAGAGACTGCGGACACAGTACAGGGGATGACCAGAGACTGCGGACACAGTACAGGAGATGACCAGAGACTGCGGACATAGTACAGGAGATGACCAGAGACTGCGGACACAGTACAGGAGATGACCAGAGACTGCGGACACAGTACAGGGGATGACCAGAGACTGCGGACACAGTACAGGGATGACCAGAGACTGCGGACACAGTACAGGAGATGACCAGAGACTGCGGACACAGTACAGGAGATGACCAGAGACTGCGGACACAGTACAGGAGATGACCAGAGACTGCGGACACAGTACAGGGGATGACCAGAGACTGCGGACAGTACAGGAGATGACCAGAGACTGCGGACAGTACAGAGATGACCAGAGACTACAGACACAGTACAGGGGATGACCAGAGACTGCGGACACAGTACAAGAGATGACCAGAGACTGCGGACATAGTACAGGAGATGACCAGAGACTGCGGACACAGTACAGGAGATGACCAGAGACTGCGGACACAGTACAGGAGATGACCAGAGACTGCGGACACAGTACAGGAGATGACCAGAGACTGCGGACACAGTACAGGAGATGACCAGAGACTGCGGACACAGTACAGGGATGACCAGAGACTGCGGACACAGTACAGGGATGACCAGAGACTGCGGACACAGTACAGGGATGACCAGAGACTGCGGACATAGTACAGGAGATGACCATAGACTGCGGACACAGTACAGGAGATGACCAGAGACTTTGGAGCTTACAATCTAGGAGGGAGGGGGTGGTGGTACAGGAGGAGATAGCTGTGGGGGGATGGAGTTGGTAGGAAGAGTGGAGGAGGTCGGCAAGTTAGCAGGGGGTGGGGTAGGCTTCCCTGAAGAGATGGGTTTTCAGGGTGTGCCTAAAGGAGAGGAGAGTAGGTGATAATCTGATGGGTTGGGGCAGGGAGTTCCAGAGGATGGGTGACACCCTGGAGAAGTCCTGGAGGCGGGCATGGGAGGAGGAGACCAGGGAACTAGAGAGAAGGAGATCTTGTGAGGAGCGGAGTGTGCGTGTTGGGCGGTACTTGGATATTAGGTCAGTGATGTAGTTCGGGGCAGTATGGTGGACGGCTTTGTACGTCAGTGTTAGGATTTTGAATTTGATCCGTTGAGCAATCGGAAGCCAGTGGAGGGATTGGCAGAGGGGGGTTGCGGAGATGGAGCGGTTGGAAAGGTGAATGAGTCTGGCAGCCTCATTCACTCAGTGATATGATGAGGGAGTGGATGAGCTGTTTAGAGGTTTCTGGGGTTAGGAACGTGCGGATTTTGGCGATGTTGCGGAGGCGGAGTCTGCATGTTGCGGAGGTGGAGTCTGCATGAGTTTGTTAAAGATTGGACTTGGGGCTGGAAGGATAGGTTGGAGTCCAGAATGACACCAAGTACTCTGGCCTGCGGGGCGGGTTTGATGGTGGCGTTGTTGGATGTGATAGAGAAGTCAATGGGGGGTGGGGGTCCGGGCTGGGGGGAAGACAAGAAACTCGGTCTTGGAGAGGTTCAGTTTAAGGAAGTGGAGCGACATCCAGTCTGATATGTCAGAAAAGAATGAAAAGAAAAGATATGAAAAGAGAAATTTTAGCAAGAGGAGAAATGGGGAAGATGGAGACGGAACAAAAAAGGACATTTCAGACGCTTCTCGATGGCAGCGATCATCTGCGGCCCGAACAGGCCAGTTGAAGTGTAGGAAACTTGTGAGAAATCCACGGTTCCCGTATCTTAAGGAATTTGGAATGTGAATCATTCAGGATACTGGACATTTGCTCATTGAGCATCAAGGCGGTCATGTGCGTCCTCACCCCCTGAAAGACAATGAATGGGGTATTCCAAGATTGGGCTATGGTCCATTTGGCTGAAATAAAGAGGTAGGTAGTCAGCTTCTGCTGGTGGGCATATATCCTTATCAGGGGCTGACTGACAACTCATGGGGCCCCGGGCAATAGGGGATCATAGGACCCCTGTGTCCTTGCCCAAACTCAAAAAAGCCTATAAAAAAGGTACCAGGGGCATTTCATGGGGCCCCCTACTGACCCCGGGCCCTCAGGCAGTGCCCGAGTGCTTGAACGGTCAGTCCGCCCCTGATCCTTATGGACCATCAGGTGGGACAAGGATCAGGCCAAAAGCCCTTGACCAGAACTAATTGGATCCTGTTTTTAATTGGCCCTAGTTAGTGTTGCTAAGGAAATAACTGAAGAAATGTAGGGTGGGGTGGGAGTGGAGGTCAGAGCAGTGGTGGGGGCCGTGGGAGAGGGGTGATGAGGGGGTAGCTGAGTGAGGGGGAAGGGGGTTAGAGGGAGTTTGAGTAGCGACCAAATCCCTGCGGGTTATGTCGAGGGAGAGGGGGGATGAGGGGGTAGCCAAAAAAAGTTTAACCACTTCCTGCCCGGCCTATGGTCAAATGTATGAAAGACCACTCACTGCTGCTCTCTCTCTGTGCACAGGGTGACTGGTCTTGTCCTCCGCCCCCTCCTGTAGTTTTCTGCGATGGGTGGGAACTGCTGGGCTCCTCCCACAGCTCTGCTGAGGCTATGTACAGCACAGTGATGATGTCACTGCTACTTTTACAAGGTAATATCTGGGTTTTCAAAGACATGAGGTGCACATAAGGTGGAGTTATATCCTTTGCTGCTATTAAACCCCCTTTTTTTTTTTTTTAAAATAACATGTCATGATTACTTGGTTTGTACAATGGCTTTACCAGGGGCGGACTGACAACTCATGGGGCCCCCAGGCAATAGGGGATCATGGGGCCCCTGTGTCCTTGCCCAAACTCAAAAAAGCCTATGAAAAAGGTACCAGGGGCATCTCATGGGGCCCCCTACTGACCCGGGCCCTCGGGCAGTGCCCGAGTTTCCAAATGGTCAGTCCACCCCTGGGCTTTTCCCTGATGCTCCTCTTCTCAGGTTCCCCCTGGCACCCGTGGTGTATTATTACAGGTACTTATATAGCGCCGTCAATTTACGCAGCTCTTTACATATCTTTGTACATTCACATCAGTCCCCGAGGAGCGTACAAGCTAAGGTCCCTAACTCCCATCATACATACACATACTAGGACCAATGTAGACAGGAGCCAATTCACCTACCAGCATGTCTTTGCAGTGTGGGAGGAAACCGGAGTACCCAGAAGAAACTTACACAGGCACAGGGAGAGAACATGCAAACTCCAGGCAGGTGGTGCCGTGGTTGGGATTTGAACCAGCAACCCGAGTACTGCCAGGTGGAAGTGCTAATATTTCAGGAACTTATATAGCACCATCAATGTACGCAGCGCTATACATATACAGGTGAAACTAAAAAAATTTGAATATCCTGCAAAAGTTCATTTATTTCAGTGCAGCAACTTAAAAGGTGAAACTAATATATGAGACTCATTACATGCAAAGCAAGATAGTTCCAGCCGTGATTTGTCATCATTGTGAGGATTATGGCTTACAGCTCATGAAAACCCCAAATCCACAATCTCAGAAAATGAGAATATTGTGAAAAGGTGGAATATTCTCGGCTCAAAGTGTCCCACTCTAATCAGCTCATTCAGCCATAACGCCTGCAAAGGGTTCCTGAGCCTTTAAATGGTCTCTCAGTCTGGTTCAGTAGGAATCACAATCATGGGAAAGACTGCTGACCTGACATCATCACTGACACCCTTCATAAGGAGGGAAAGCCTCAAAAGGTCATTGCAAAAGAAGTTGGATGTTCCCAAAGTGCTGTATCAAAGCACATTAATAGAAAGTTATGTGGAAGGGAAAAGTGTGGAAGAAAAAGGTGCACAAGCAGCAGAGATGACCGCAGCCTGGAGAGGATTGTCAGGAAAAGGCCATTCAAAATTGTTGGGGACTTTCACAAGGAGTGGACTGAGGCTGGAGTCAGTGCATCAAGAGCACCACACAGACGGATCCTGGACATGGGCTTCAAATGTCGTATTCCTCTTGTCAAGCCGCTCCTGAACAACAAACAACGTCAGAAGCATCTTACCTGGGCTAAAGAAAAACAGACCTGGTCTGTTGCTCAGTGGTCCAAAGTCCTCTTTTCTGATGATGAGAGAAACCAAGGACCCGAGTATGGAGGAAGAATGGAGAGGCCCAAGGACCCCTAGTATGGAGGAAGAATGGAGAGGCCCAAGGACCCCGAGTATGGAGGAAGAATGGAGAGGCCCAAGGACCCCGAGTATGGAGGAAGAATGGAGAGGCCCAAGGACCCCGAGTATGGAGGAAGAATGGAGAGGCCCAAGGACCCCGAGTATGGAGGAAGAATGGAGAGGCCCAAGGACCCCGAGTATGGAGGAAGAATGGAGAGGCCCAAGGACCCCGAGTATGGAGGAAGAATGGAGAGGCCCAAGGACCCCGAGTATGGAGGAAGAATGGAGAGGCCCAAGGACCCCGAGTATGGAGGAAGAATGGAGAGGACCAAGGACCCCGAGTATGGAGGAAGAATGGAGAGGCCCAAGGACCCCGAGTATGGAGGAAGAATGGAGAGGCCCAAGGACCCCGAGTATGGAGGAAGAATGGAGAGGCCCAAGGACCCCGAGTATGGAGGAAGAATGGAGAGGCACACACTGCAAGATGCTTGAAGTCCAGTGTGAAGTTTCCACAGTCTGTGTTGATTTGGGGAGCCATGTCATCTGCTGGTGTTGGTCCACTGTGCTTCATTAAGTCCAGGGTCAACGCAGCCGTCTACCAGGAGATTTTGGAGCACTTCATGCTTCCTTCCACAGACGAGCTTTATGGGGATGCTGACTTCATTTTCCAGCAGGACTTGGCACCGCCCACACTGCCCAAAGCACCAAAACCTGGTTCAATGACCGTGGGATTACTGTCCTTGATTGGCCAGCAAACTCACCTGACCTGAACCCCATAGAGAATCTATGGGGCATTGACAAGAGAAAGATGAGAGACATGAGACCGAACAATGCAGAAGAGCTGAAGGCCGCTATTGAAGCATCCTGGTCTTCCATAACACCTCAGCAGTGCCACAGGCTGATAGCTTCCATGCCACGCCGCATTGAGGCAGTAATTGCTGCAAAAGGGGCCCAAACCAAGTACTGAGTACATACAGTGAGGAACAGAAGTATTTGAACCCCCTGCGATTTTGCAAGTTCTCACTTAGAAATCATGGAGGGGTCTGACATTCACATTGTAGGTACATTCCCACTCTGAGAGACAGAATTAAAAAAAAAATCCAGGAAATCACATTGTATGATTTGTAAAGAATTTATTTGTTTTGCACTGCTGAACAGAAGTATTTGAATACCTGAGAAAACAGCAAGAATTCTGGCTCTCAAAGACCTGTTACTGCACCTTTAAAAAGTCCACCTCTACTCCACTCATTAATCTAACTTAGTAGCACCTGTCTGAGCTCTTTAAAGACACCTGTCCACCCCGCAGTCAGTCAGACGCCAACTACTACCATGGGCAAGACCAAAGAGCTGTCAAAAGACACCAGAGACAAAATTATGGACTTCCATAAGACTGGAAAGGGCTACGGGGCAATTGCCAAGCAGCTTGGGGAAAATAGATCAATGCGATACACGAGGGGTTCGAGGGCCCTGCTCCTTGGAGCTTACAATCTAGGAGGGAGGGGATATTAGTCCCCGCCCCGAGGAGCGTACAATCTAAGGTCCCTAACTCACATTCATACATATACATACTAGGGACAATTTAGACAGGAGCCAATTCACCTACCAGCATGTCTTTAGAGCGTGGGAGGAAACCCACACAGGCACAGGGGGAGACAGGAGGGCACAATACTGGGATCAGGAGGGCACAGTACAGGGGGGAGTCAGGAGGGCACAGTACAGGGGAAGACAGGAGGGCACAATACTGGGATCAGGAGGGCACAGTACAGGGGGGAGTCAGGAGGGCACAGTACAGGGGAAGACAGGAGGGCACAATACTGGGATCAGGAAGGCACCATACTGGGATCAGGAGAGCACAATACTGGGATAAGGAGGGCACAGTAAAGGGAGAGTCAGGAGGGCACAATACTGGGATCAGGAGGGCACAGTACAGGAGGAGACAGG